ATATTGTCATGATTCGTATTTGCCAGTTTCTCGTTTGAATCATGGTGATCGATTCTATGTGTTGCTATATGTCATGGGAAGTTCTTAACCACTACTTCTTGTGTAGATTCTAGTCGCAGACTCGTTCGCGTTCTAGGTGAGTCTACTAAGCCCACTGGTTCAAATTCCCTTGGGTAAGCTGTAAATGAGGGCGTTAGGGCCTCTGTTGTTATTGCCCGCTGGCAGGTCAGTGAGCCCTTCGAGCTCCTTTATGGGGGCGCTCAATGCTTCAAAGGCTTCACGGGAAACGCCGATGGCGGGCCCAAGCAGTGTGAGCCGGAGAGTGACGCGGGACACCAACGATCATTTCTACTGTTTCAGTCTCATTCTCCGAGTTCATTATCAATGAAGTTATTACCGATTTGTAAATGGTAGCGATAGGGAAAGAGCGCCAGTTAGGGAAGGTGATTTATATGGCCTCGGTTCAGAAATGAAGCAGTAATGACTTGAAGACCGTCGGGATTTTTGCGTAGGGTTATTTTTTTCGAAAATTTTCACTGATGAGGACGTCCAGTGAAGAAGAAGCAAAGCAGCTCATAAAAAAAATCAAGATTTCTCTTATGAGATTGTACGTGGTGTGCAGGAGGGACACAGCGCTGCGGGAAGAAGGAAAACACGAGGGAGCACCTTGTACTAGAGAAGGTGCGGACGACGTGCTACGTATGTTTTGCGTTGATAGATGGCAGCACCGCAGCACACAAGGCAAGGCCTTAGCGCTGTTGCCTCGCACTTTTGAGTGCGACAGTGCCACCGCACCTGCGCCTGGGGACTGCTCTTTCTCACTCTGGGAGGGACTACTTCTTGGCACCCAGTCCCGAACCGTGGCTTTAATTTAACCGTAGAGTGTGCCGATGAGGGAGATTACCTTTTGAAAGAACATTTCTTTCTTACCAAACTAAGCCATTACGTCAGCAGTACTTACTGCCCGCGATCTAAAGCAACAAAACACGCAGCAAACCTAGAAAACAGAAACTGACGCGAGACGCATTTGCATTCGTGTGACTTTAACGCGGATATGGATGGATAGAGCTCAGGACGCTGTGATCGGATTTTTCCACCACATTTATCTATTGTCCGGTAATTTCCAACCGTCCCTGCTCTAATTTTGGTAAGGCAAACAAGTAGTGCGCCGCGATCACCTACTTCCTTTCACTTACAATAAAATTGTTTTCTGAACACATACTGAAACTGTACCAATAAGAACGACGATAGCAAATAGATTGGCATGGCTTCTGCGCAAAAACGATACGCGAATTCGTTGAGCATCCGAAGTTTTTCAACTCTGGCGCATTTAGCTATAGGTGATAGGGGAAGAGATAGATATCACGACTACACCACCTCTGCAGGGTCCGCCATAGCGTCGCGAGATTCCATATTAAGATCCCTCCTCCCAGAAACTCAAATAAAGCCCTAGCTTCACTTTCCCCAGACAGTATTATTTGACCTTTAGTGCAACTTGACTCCGGCCTACGTTGTTCGGTAAAATCTTCTAGGTCTTTTGAGAATATTTTCTCCAAAAAAAAACCAGAATTCGATATCAAAGAGGAAATATCTTATTAATTAAAGTTAAAGCTGCCAAAGCCAAAGTGGTTCCCGACTAATTCAGGAGCTATCACGAGAAGTGGGTAAAAGTATGCGTTTTCTGCCTTAAAGGCGGAATTTTTAGGAAAAATGAGAGTGTAAATCGTTTGATCGGTGCGGATTTGTGTGTCGCTCGTCCGATTCGCTGGCAATTTAAGCGCTGCTGGTCCTTCCACACACCACATCACAACAAATCGGACAGAATTCGGGAATCGATACTTTGATCAGTTGCAGTGGTGGACGACCACACCTCCGTGTGATGGCATGAACGACGTCACACATTGGCACCGACTCGCTGTCGAGTGTGCAGTAGACACTGGGGAAGAGCCAAGGCTGCCATTAGGCAAGGTTACCCGCGCGTAGCGCAGATCTCAATAATTTTTTGACCCCTCCCTCCTTTAGGGGGTTTCGATACCCCTACCCCCACCATCAGCCTTAGGGAAATCCCCGTTCTCACCCTATCATAACTGTTGTCGACGCGGCCCAGCTACGCCCACTTTTCTCCTCCAAAGCGACCGTGTGCAAGGAGGGGAGGGTAGGGGTAAATGCTAAAGAAACGGGTCCTCAATTTTTTCTACTTCTCGCTTCCTTCATGAACTTCTCTCAAAAATGGTTCCACCACGACCCCTTCAACTTCTAAAGATACATCCCTGCCCCTTTTCCCTTCTCCTTTCGGCCCTCCCATCACAGAATACGACCCCTTCCGAAAAAAACTCAATACTACTCCTTGCCTCCCCCTCGCTGAGAACTATGCAACGTTTGGTCAACCCTGCTGTGAGACTGTAATTGTTATCTTCTATTGTCAGGGAACAATTAGAGGGAGATGGTGCGAAAAATCGTGGCCCTCTGAAGTGAATGTGAAGGTGGTTGGGTTCGAGGAACTTCCGAGAGAAGACGAAGGGAGAGCTGAGGATGGGCTGAGCTTTTTCCCCGTAAATTTCCGCTTTGGACAAACTGGTGACCAACGAGCTCGTTTGCCGAGCTACTCTACTAGCCAGTGCCATGTTAACAAATATCATCTTTTCATTGATAACGCATAACGAAAGACTCAAAGATTCCGCCGCTATACATGAAATGCCCTTTCAAAATGAAGAGGAGAGCAGGCCTTGCCATGACAGATTATCAGGGTCAGGACTTTGTAGGCTACGATATTCGAGCTCTTCGCTACGATACAAGCCTCTTCTCATTTTGAGAGATTGGCCCTTCTTTGTTGTAGGCGTATCTCCATTGATTCCGCACCCAATTGTCGTATTATCAGGATTCTACGATAAGGCCGAAGGTCGAAGAAGGGGAAGCTCAGGCACACTTTCAAAGGGTGCGGACCAACACGCAACTCGCAGCGAAGAATGCCCCTAGCGATCTAGCATGGCCGTCCTTCGCGCCGCTATCGCCGCGACACACCCGCCACCGCGGCACGCCGACTGGCTAGGCACTCTCTGTAGCAACGTGTAGGGTTCTTACCACCAAACATTGGCACCGGTTAGTGGCGTTAGCGTTAGCGTTGAATAAAGGCAGCACCAATGAGAGTCGCGGAAATCAATGGGCAAGGAAAGGGTCCAATTTCTCGGGTACTGGGCAGTTTCTGACATGTTTTCCGTCCTGGCACCACCGTTCACCACTACATTAATTTCTAATGAGCTGCCTTCTAATCGTAAACTCTGCCTTCAAAGGCTAAGCCGCCTTGGAAAACGTTACCCAAACCATTTCTGATGGCGATCAATTTCCCAGCGGAGACCGAACGCTGGTGGAGTGCATGAAAGATCTACTAGTTTCCGCTTAGAACAATCAACGCCAGCAATAGAGCACCTTCATTTTGAAACTATTTTTAGATGTGAGTCCGACAGTTCGCAGCAAAATCGAAATCTCCGTAGTGAGAGCAAATCCAGAACTGCTCTGGGATGAAAGGCCACAGGTGCTAGAGCAGGCGGACATGTCACCCGGTGCGGGGCACGATTTTCAGAGTACAGAAATCCCACTTTCGCACACCGAGACCTTTAATATTGTGGGCTTCAAAATTTTTTATCATAATGCTACTTCTACGTTCTTTTGGACGACTTTCACTGTCGAATGATGCAAAGAAGCACTTGCAGCTACGGAGACGAGGCTTTTCATCTGTTCACCCAACTTGGAGCCCCTTTCCATTACAAATCGTCATCCACCCGGCTTCTATGGACAATTGTTTGTCGTGGTTTGAATGCCTTGCTCAGCATCTAAATCCAGTTCGTTACAGCCCTTAGCAAACAAACAAAACATTTGATGCAAACTTTTATCAACACATGCATTTGAGAAAAAACATGCTAAAGCACGAATTAGTCAATTTTACAACATGCTATGAATGAGGTCAGTTTACTCGTTAATAGGAATTGTATGAAAGAGGAGTGTATTAATGTCACCAAGATTTAAGAAAAAAACACCGTTCAACGTTACGGCCGGACACAACTTACTTGAATGTATAGATAAGATTAACCGGAGCACATGAAGCATCACTTCCTTCCACGTCATCGGCAGCAAGGCCCGAGCAGCATCACCCCGGCATGAAGAAGAACCCCATAAAAATAGCGAAAAATGATTTCATTACCAAGACAAAGCACTTCAGAAAACTTCAAAAATACCAACCGCCTGGTCTTTTTGTTCTCGTGCCTTCAGAGCTTCCTTGTCAACAGTGAACTGTACTGCATTCACTGCTGGCTTCGTGCGCAAATAATACATGCCAGTTTTCAAGCCCTGAAAAGAAATTGTTGGTATTATTGCAAATAGAGCCCACGGCCACAAAAATCACAATGCATAATTTGCAGAATACTTGAATCTATTTCAGTACCTTCTTCCATCCATAAAAGTGCATGGATGTGATATTTGCGTAGCTTGGACGAGCGATGTGGATGTTCAACGACTGCGATTGATCGATGAAAGCTCCACTGCAAATGAAACCGTGAAGAGAATTTCAGGTATTTCAGAATGATTTGTGCACAACCTACCGGTCCGCCGCCATTTCGATTATGTCCTTCTGCGGTAGCTCCCACACTGTCTGGTAAAGTCGCTTGATGTGATCGGGAATTCCCTTAAACGACAAAATTCAGCATTGCTAACCTACAACGCAAAGTGGTAACACTTACGGATATCTTTGCGATCGATCCGTTGCTCGCGATCAGCTCATTCTTCATGTCATCATCCCAAAGCCCCAGATCTACCAAGTCCTTCAGCAGATGCGGATTGACAATTTGGAAATCACCGGAAAGCACTCTTCGACTGTAGATATTCGAAGTGTAAGGCTCAATAGACTCGTTGTTGCCAAGAATTTGAGCCGTTGATGCCGTTGGCATAGGAGCAATCAGCAAACTGTTACGAACACCGTGCCTGAAAAATCAACCCTTAACTCTGGACCAATACTGAAACTTTGACCACCTACTTCTTGATCTTCTGCCTAAGAGTATCCCAATCGCACTGATCTGTTGGCTTTACGTTCCACATATCGAACTGAAGGATTCCCTTGGATACAGGACTGCCTTCGTACGTCTCATAAGGCCCTATAAAACACTCGTACAGGCGTACATTAACCACAAGGTAAATAAGTTTATCTCTTTCGAAAGGAATACACTTACCAAGCTTCTCAGCGAGTTCACAAGATGCCTCCAGTGCGGCGTAATAGATAACCTCGAAGATTCTTCTGTTCAGATCACGAGCCTCAGGTGATGTGAATGGATAGCGCATCAGCATGAAGGCGTCAGCAAGACCCTATACGAAACAAATTGATCTCAAATACCGAAGGTCGAAGGATTTCAATTAATAGATTCCGCCATTATTAGCGGAGATCATCTCCTACCTGTACTCCAAGACCAATTGGCCGATGACGGAAGTTCGAGCGGCGCGCCTCTTCAACAGGGTAATAGTTTACTTCGATGATTTTGTTCAGATTACGCGTTAGTACCTAAAAATTTCGAAGAAATAACCAGAACTTTTGATCTCGACACTAGTACACGAATCTCACCTTAGCAACCTCATGCAGCTTATTGAAGTCAAACTTCTTATCCTCTGTGACGAATCTGTTAAGAGCAATCGAACCAAGATTGCATACTGCTACCTAAACAATGATTACGTTTAAAACCCATGAAAAAATATTCAAACCCTATCGCACTTACTTCATCCTTGCTCGAGTACTCTACGATCTCCGTACACAGGTTAGAACACTTTATTGTTCCCAAGTTTTGTTGGTTACTCTTTCGATTGCAGGCGTCCTAAAATGAATTAGGATAGGAAGTGAAGTAAGATAGGCTTGCATGAATATAACCTTCTACTCACTTTGTACAAGATGTAAGGCGTTCCAGTTTCAATCTGACTGGACACGATATGCTCCCAAAGTTTGCGAGCTTTCACTTGCTTACGATAACGACCTTCTGATTCATATCTGCAAAATAGAACAAATGATTCAAAAATAATTAAATTAGTAGTGTGTATGAAAGTGTTCGATTTCACAATGCACTCAACTCTGACATTATCTCGCTTATCAGTAATGTCTCTGTCTCAAAAAAAGTAATGGAAAAATGTTCCAAGTATATTTACCCTTCAGTATCACCCCACTACCACTTGCAAAGAAAAACTTGAACATACTTAGTGTAGAGCTCCTCGAAAGCCTCTCCCCAACACTCATGGAGTCCAGGCGATTCATGAGGGCACATCAGAGACCAATCTTCATCACGTTCCACTCGCTTCATAAATAGATCAGGTATCCATAGCGCGTAGAACAGATCACGTGCACGTTCCTCTTCAGGACCAGTGTTCTTTTTCAGAGCAACAAATCTGAATAAGTTACGATGGTGTCGAAATTCTATGGTAAGAAATTGAAGTAAAACATACTCAAAAATGTCTGCATGCCACGGCTCCAAGTAGATTGCGAACGCTCCTGGGCGTTTGTTACCGCCCTGGTCCACATACCGCGCAGTGTTGTTATACACACGAAGCATGGGAATCAAGCCATTCGATGTGCCATTAGTTCCCGCTATCAAAGATCCAGTAGCTCGGATATTGTGAACATTCAAACCAATTCCTCCAGCGCTCTTAGAGATCAATGCACATTGCTTCAGAGTATCGTAGATACCCGCAATCGAATCCTCGCTCATCGTCAGAAGGAAGCATGAGGACAGCTGCGGCCTGCAAGATTTGATGAAAAATGAGAGGACAGCATCTGCTCACAGTGATGCAGCTAGGAGAATGGAGAGCCCGAACCCTTCAAGCACACTGAAGACACACTCCGTCATTGATTAGTCGCGTTATTGTTTGAAATAAAGCTGTGGTGGCGAATCGCCCAACTCGAACAACGAAAGAGATCGCAAATGTATCCTACCAGGTGGAGGGCAAGGTGTTTTTACCGGCTCTTTAGGTTAGCGGGTTTTTTTTTAAATTGTGTTCCATCAGTTATCAACCAGCTATAACAACTACATTCATATTCGACACGATAACCTATACGGCAATCGCAGAAGCATTTAAAGTGAAATTAAGAACCAACCACTTCGTTCCCGCATTGAACAACGTGGGAGAGGCATGAGTGAAATATCGTTCACTCATCAGATTGTATGTCTCAATGGCTGCGTCAATGTCCTCCCCATGAATTCCAATAGCGACTCGCATAAGCATATGCTGAGGGCGTTCCGCGACCTAAACATAGGAACTGCTCACTGAAATAGTGCAAAAACGTCAAGGACGCTCTTCAGTAAAGAGAGTCAAAATCCACTTACAATTCGCAAACCAACCTCTTTGTTGATTTTCAAGAGATAAGAACGCTCAAGGGTTTTGAAGCCAAAGTAGGTATAAGAGAAGTCACGATCATAAACAATGGTCGAGTTGAGCCTCTGGAACACAAGCACTTATATTTGAAGCTGGGCCATTGCAGGAAGTGAAAAGCTCAAAACACAAAAATCTCACCTCAGCATGCTTCACGATGATGTCGTATGTTTCTTTACTAATCATTGGAGAGTGTTCGCCTGTTTGAGGGTGGTGAAAATTGTACAACTTCGTCATGACTTCGGAGAACACCTGAACCAGTAATATTCAAGCGAAAATGCTGTCGACAGAGTGTTCAGTATAAAATTTCGCCCTTGATAATAATGCCCTACAAGCCAAAACCATTGAAAAAGCTGACCTTGCCAGTTTTCTTATGCAAATTTGAAACGGCGATTCTAGCTGCAAGAATGGCATAGTCGGGATGTTGCGTGGTCATCGAAGCAGCAGTTTCTGCAGCAAGGTTGTCCAACTCCACTGTTGAAACTCCTTTGTAAAGGCCTCCAATGACTTTCATTGCCACTAGCACCTAGAAACATGCTATACATACTTGCCCATTAGCATAGTTGCACTTTTAAATGAGAAGAATTGCACAAACCGGGTCGACATAATCCATGTTCAGTCCGTAAGACAATTTCTGGATACGCGCCGTGATTTTGTCGAAGTGGACAGTCTCCTTCCTCCCATCTAAAAAGAGAAAAATAATTATTGAAGGAACTAAGCATCTCCTTCTCTTGAGCGTGTTCTGGTGTTTCGGCAGGCTCC